AATGAATCAGACTTTTCATCGTCACAGCTCAGTGGGACTGAACAGGTCGAGTTATTAAAAAGTCATTGTCGCTTCACTCAGTGATCTCAGGCAAAGGACTAAATTAGATTGGTAATGTATGATTGCCCTCAACTGGTCATTATATTCAAAGTTCATGTTAATGAAGGAGCAGAATGTCTCTGTACTTTTTAGGTGTAAGCTAATATCAAGATGAAAAATGACAATAGAGAGCTACTTCTGTTATTTTATTCTAAAATTTGTCAGAAACAGTTTTTTTGCATATCCTGTTTCATCCAAACAATTTTCTCATCTGCTGCAACTGTGACATGAAGAACAACCTCTCTGTGTACGTAACGTCTTCAGTGCTGGCATCATGTCTGCGCTGTTGACAGGGGATAAAGCAGCGTAATAGCTGTTTGAATTGATCCCCGCGAAATGACACAACGTCTTGGCAGATGAGGCATTGTCCTTGTCCCGCGAAGACGGTTTGCTTTTTGAGCAGGAAGTGACTGTGAGTAGTGGATTTCACTTCCTCTCAGCATTAATCAGCAGAAGGGGGGATTTATTTTTACATGCTGTCTGTGCAATACTGAGTGCGCCTCCTGTCCTTATTTCCCAGAAAAGAAAAAAAGTCACAGCCCCTTATGAATATTGCTGTCAGGGGAAGAAGTGGAGAAGCAAGGAAAATTACTATAATATTCTCTGATTTTGTCTCCTTTATCCTTTGTCTCCTTGTTCTTATTCTATGTGTCTCCCTCATGTCTTTGACGCTACCATCCAATGAAACTTTATCTTTGAATCTGTTTAAAAAGGAAAGGACATTTCTCCTGAAGTAGAAGCAAAAGTCAACAAGTCTTGTGGCCTTATCTGCTTATATTCCTCTATTCTTTCCGTCTCCCCCTCGTCAACCTCTCTACCCATTCCTTTCCCTCTAACTCAAGTCACAGGCTTTTTTCCAAAATTCATTTCAGCCTTGATGGATATACTAAGCACCGACGGCTTTTGATTTAGGCTTCTGATGCTGTCTGCCTTTCCTAACATCCACTTTGGGTGCAGCGCTCCATCACATTGATTTCTCTGAAGATGAAACTCTGATTGAACAGACCTCTCTTGGCGGCCAAGGGCCCCCACGTGTGTCTTGCACTGTTACAGCATATGAAAGAGGACCCACCCTGTCTTATGACAGGCAAACGACGCAAGGCCAACGAACTACTGCACCTTATACTGTGCGACCTATATTAAATATGAAACGTAGTGGGCAATTAAATGGCAGACGTTTGCTCAGTGATGCTTACAAAGTCTGATCAAATAAAAATAAAAATTTCTAGTATTTTGTCCTCCATTCTTTAAAAGCTTCTCAAATCAAACGTCGTGTTTTCATATGGGATTCTTCGTACTTCGACGACAATTCTGCAGCACCCAACTCACCTCCAATACCAACACTCAGTGCCAAAGCAGGAAACAGTGTGCCCTCTATGTAATAAAGCGAAAACAAAGGGTGTTGGGGCCACTTCCCAGCAGAGCCCAGAATTTATGTTTTATCTCATACCAAGCATTAATGTTTCTTAAACCTGATCTCTTCCTGAGCTTAACATTAAAAGAAAGTTGGCATACCCAAACAGTAGTGAATACTGATTTGACATTGGAATACCAATGCAAATTAATATTCATAGTTCAGGCTAGCCTTAGTGTGTACATGCATATATGGTGCAAGTGTGTGTGTTTGAATTTTGCCAGTCTTGTGCAGGTGGCATGGAGGTGTGTCTGACATTAGAATGAAGGTAGCCTCTGCATAATTCAGATGAACCTGTCTCCTTTAGTCTCCTATATCCCTCTCTTCTCTCTCTCACACTCCTATCCTCATGTAACCCTCCACATTTTAAATGTAACTCTCTCATTTTCGCAGTCTGTGTATGTGTGTGGGTTTTTTAAAGATCTTTCAGTGCTTTAACCTTCAAGAGATCATAATATATCTTGTGCACCATTCATGAGCTCTGATCAGGTTGTGTGCCCTTCTTCCTAGTGATAGCTCATTATACCAGGCCTACACACACACACCATAGTTTGGGGAAATTATTTGATCACTGGATTCTTTAATTATGCATGAATGCAATGTAGAGGCTCTAATTAAATAAATGTGGTGACTTCTTCAGTGTATTACTTATCTTGTTCTTTATCCAGAAATATATGGATGTTGGGAGGAATTAACAGAAGCTCTAATGGCCTCTAGGTCATCATCAACGGAAACCTTCTTCTATAAGTACCTGCTTTATCTTCATGAGGAAGGCTTCTCCTTGTGTGATCTTATCCACCTGCTCTATCTTAGTGAATAGGTATACTGTAGACCTTTTTTAAAGATTTTCAAGGGAACAAGTAGACAAATAAAATCAAGGATAATAAGATAATAAGGTGTGCCCATAAAACAAACAATACTACAACCTCACAGGTGCTCAATCAGATATGTAATGAAAGGTTGCCATACACTGCTAAAATTATTCTTAGGTCCTAATATAGCAACTCTTATGGTTCTCTTTCTTAAAAAATGTAGTATATCACTGATCCAGTTTTTAAAGGGGAGAGGGGTAGTCTGCTTCCAATTGAGTAAAATGATCCTTCTGGCTAAAAGAGGGACATAGGTGATGCAATTTGACTGTGCCCTAGGAAGAGGATTGTCCTCACACTGAATACCAAAAATGGCTATAAGAGGATTTGGATCTATTGGTGTTTCAAGTTTCTTGGATATGGCATCAAATATGGAGGACCAGTAACCCGAGAGCCTCAGGCAAAACCAGAATGCATGAGCTAGTGTTGCAGGTGAGTTCTTACATTGATTACAAGAATCACCAACCAATGCATACGTCTTTGAGATTCGGACTTTAGACAGTTGAAGTCTGTGTACCACCTTGAATTCAATCAGGCCATGCCTGGTATATGTTGATGAGGAGTGTATTCTTGAGAATATATCTGACCACAATATAGTCAGACTGAATTATACATTCAGATTAGACTGCCATGCCTCTCTCAGTGCATCAAGAGATTACATTTGCATAGGTGAAAGTTTCTTATATATAACAGATATTGTGCCTTTGACAGACAGAGCTGCAAGTGCAATTGTTAACACACACTAGATACAATTTGATCTGTATTACAGTATTACTTTTATTCCAGCATTTCCATTTGCCCATTTCTGAGTTAAACATAATTTATAAACAGGCACATGCAAAAAGCTATAGTCTAACATTCTTAGCATTATTCAAGTTTGGGTCCTCCATTCGAAATTCAGTTTTCTGATTAATTAAAGATTGTTGCTTAGGACATTTGTATCATTGTGCATTTCAGTGTTTACATCTTACTCTCAGCCATAAACATTGTATGAAAAGAAGGCTGTGTGTGTAAGCAGTCGAGGGGGCTAAAGCACTGTGTGTTCCCAGTTGTGCCTTATGTCAACATCTGATCAAAGCTGTACGCTCACACACAGACACACACAAACACTAAGAAAAAAACAAGCATAAAAAATGCACACACATGCATGCGTTAGATTGTTTCACTATGCCCTCAGGGTATTGAATAAGCTTGCTTCTTGATGTTCCCCTGATCATTACATTTATCACATTGCATCAGTAGAAAATCCTAAATAAACCTTTTAACAGGCTTCTCCTCAGTAATGCAGTAAATAGGCTTCTTATCCTAGAGGCCAATGGGTTTATCTTGGTCTACAAAGCCCATGATACAGACTTTTGTGGTGCGAGTTGCAGGATTGGATTCAAGTAAAAAGGTTTTTCGTCAGTATGAATTGTCCGAAATATACAACAGTCACAAACCGGAATCTTACTATTGTGAAGCCAATTTGATTCATCCAACGTTACTCATGAAATAGTGATTATTTCATAATAATAATGTGTTTTAAAGCTAAGTCCACGAAAGGCAGGGCTTTTTTTTCAAAAATACATTTTACCATTTTAACAAAAAACATTATTAAGGTAAGGTAAGTGCCCAGCCTGCATGGTCTTATTAGACATAAACAAGAGCAATACCATGATGACAGCAAAGGAACAAATATAATACACCATACATGCCAAACAATGTCTAACCAAATATGAACATAATTCTACTACTTGTTCCTTTAACACACCATACATAAAGCACCCTCCTATGCTTTTGGCGGGCTAAATAGCAAATACAAAGAGAGTGATGAAATCCATATAATCTAGGCTATCAAACATAACATAACTAACAAAGAATAGCTTTGTGCTGGAGAATTTTATATTGTATTTTTTAAAGATATAATAATGCTTGGGCTGACCATGAGATAATATAATATTAAAATGTTTACACAAATGTAATAAATGCAAATGAACAATACAGAAAAGTAACAGTAACTTAAGACCTAATCAAATACAGTGTTGTGAAATATATTATTAAGCTCTTCTGATCCTTTTTTATGTTTCTTTTTTTGTTTGTTTTGTCTATAGCTTTATTTCTTTTCTATATTCAACTTCGACAAAGCAGGACGTAAACAAACTGAACAAAACCTGTTAAGAAGTAAAAGAACATTTTACTTTCTGGCCACATTTAGCAGCGTTTCTTGAGTTTCTCCTGTTTTATGTTACGTTTTCGATGATTTGTGTACAGTCAGATATAGTGTGCTGTGCAAGTCCCACGACTACACATTCCCTGCCTGAAAAGCGAAAGCTTGAGTGTTTCGACACTTGCGAGATGCCGTAGTTCAGAATCCGGAAGCACAGCTGCTGTCATCCAAACAAACAACAATGTAAGCAAGATTTTGACGATAAAGACATTACCTGCTATTATTTTTTACACTGTTGACTTTAACGTTCGTGCAAGGGGCTTCTCCTTGTTCTTGTGACATTCAGAGTTACGGCATTAAAACGTGAACCAGAGAGTTATCTCACCGTGAAGGGAGGCTAACTGTAAGTGCTCTGCCACATCGTCACAAGCCGACAGACAGCAGGGCCGCACTCACTCTTACATACATGTTACCAAGCTTTATGACACGTTTACTTAGCTTGTTTAGGCGCTCATCAATGTGTATTAACCATAGTGTTATGTTCAAGTCTGGCAAGTCATACTGTGGCTTATTATTCGCCCTTGCATTCTCCTATTAAGCCATTTATTAGGTTAGAAAGCAGGAAATGAAGATACATTTGGTTACTGGACGAGAATGAAGCTCACATCAACTGATTCGTCTGGACATGAGTAACTAATAAGTGTAACATATATACGTTTGGATTGCCTGACTAATGGATAATGTATTGATCGTTATTACCTGGAGTAACGCTGCTTTTCAAACTGTTCACAGGGGTTGATTTTGGAGAATGTCATCCAGAGGCGTAGTCCTCCATTTGCGAACCATCTGTACAAGTCTAGAGAAAGTGACTGGAGTAAACTGACTGACTTCAACTGCATTTGGACACCTTGTTTTCGGGTCAGCCATGGCTCGGGAGGAAGAGGAAGAGGGGCTGACAGTCGATGCACCCAAGGAGGTGGACGTGTTTACATCAGTGCGCTGCCTGGGTTACCTGTCCAGCGTCAACCTCCTTGTGGCGGTGTGCGTTGGCATGTACGTACGCTGGGAGGTGACAAGTGAACCAATGATTCTGGTCATCTTCATCCTGGGCCTCTTCGTCCTGGGGATAGCCAGCATCCTTCATTACTACTTTGCTATGGAGAAAGCCAGTCTCAGCTTATTCCATTTGTGGTTTGGCTTTTTGCTCGGCCTTCTGTGCTTCCTCAACAGCCCCGCGTTGGATTCAAACGTCAAGGAACTGGTCGCCAACTATCTCCTCTTAGCCTGTGTAATCATGAAAACAGTGTGGGCTGTAACTGAGCGAATATGCAGCTCCGTCCGATACAAACCCAGCTTGCTAACATCAGCTGAGTTGCTGGAGCTCCTGGGATTTGGCATTGCCAGCACTGCCATGCTTCTTCACAATTCAGTGGCCATAATAGGCTTGGTAGTGGCCCTGGGGGCTCTCATTGTGGACTTAAGGATGAAATCCCTCCTGGCTTTGCCCAACCTGGTCAGTTTTGCCTTGGTTACCTCTCTTGTGTTTTTCCAGGCCTTAGGCATTACTGCCAACCCTTATGCCTTAGGGTGCTACGTTGGCAGGCTGCTGTGTGAGCCCGTGCTGGATGTGTACTTCAGTGGGCTTGGGTCCACTGAGCGCTGGATACCTGTGCTCTCCATGGGGAGGGTGTGGAGGAGGCTGTCCCTGCTGCCTCTGAGTCTGGCTGAGCTGGCCTTCTTTGTCCTGGCTGCCTTAAAGGTACATTCAGCATTTTGCAGGAATTGACATTTCCATTATGTGAGTCTTTAGGACTTGTGTGTCAAACTCAATCATGTCTTGCAATGTGTAACCCTTATAAAACAGTTTTATTTTGACTGTGTTTTGTATGGCTTGGTTTAAGTCTGTGTTTAATGACACTTTTCTCTCACCTTACATAGCTTGGCCACTTGGAGCTGTGGTATTTGGTGATCCCAGGCTTCTGCCTGTTTGGCCTTTTCTGGTCCATCTGCCACATAATCCTGCTGATCACAATCTGGGGCTTCCACACCAAGTTGAGTGAATGTCAAAAGGCCTGGCGGGCCCAGAGATCCGGTAGCCGGAGTCTCGACCAAGTCATGGCCTCCAGGGGCATCCGTCACTTCTGTCTCATTTCAGAACGTCTGGTGTTCTTTAGTATGCTGTCAACGGTCATACTGGGAGCTGTATCCTGGCAGGTAGGAGACACAAGAGAGATCACTACTACTTAACTCGTATCAGAAATTATTATAGCCAAGTTTGCAAAGTATCTAAACCTAAAATATATTCCTCCCTCATTGCCCTATTGTTGTTTTTCATGCAATAAACATGTCTAATAGCACAGCAGGCATCATTATAGTCACATCATATAGTCATATTGATGGCGAAACTTCTTGAGAGGGTGCAGAATCTTAAGACGTTCACAGAAAACATCACTGATCATGCTGATCACGGTTCCTGCTCCAGTTCTTCCTCTTACAGCTATGGCACTTTGGCTTTCATGACAAGGCCTCAATAAACGTCATACACACAAGTTATAAAATGTGTGGAGAGAGAGATGCTAGTGTCGGTGTGTCGTCAGTAGTTGCTCCCCAAGCTTAGGCACTTCTGCTCTCATGCGGAACCAATTTAATTAGCACTTTAATATCCCTATCTACTTGCATAAAGAGCAGCAATAACTTATTTAGCCTTATTAGACGTTTACCCTGTAAGAGTCTCATGGGCCTGAGTCCTAATTTGAGATCTGCACATTGTTGATGTCGGTTGCAAATTTGCCCGAGAAAGGTAATGATTGTGTAGCAATTTTTTGTGATTTTTTTATGTTAACGGCTTTTCATTTGCCCGTGCCGTTTAAATTCACTAATACACGGTCACTTTAAGTCCACGTAACTCTCATGCACACACGCAAACAAAAATAACAGCAACGGTGGTACAATTGAATGCAGTCTCAGCAATACAGCCTTTGTGAAACTAAATAGGTGTTGATTCAACTCTATGCAAATGTTTAAGGCCACCGTTTCCAGTGATTCTCAGCTTTTCATAGAATTTATACGAAAGACCCACCTGAATAGATGAGCCTATTCAAAGACATTTATATTGTATGTATTATAGCTTCCTTTCAAAAGTCTGCATGGAAATGCATTTGGAAGTGTGGACTGACTGAAAAGCAGAATCGTGCCTTTGTGCAATTGTATAGAAATGACTTCTCTGATCAGAAGTCAGCTTGTGAATGTGATGCTGTTGAGTGCTAAGCTGTTCTCGAGCATCCCCCCACTCCCACAGCTACTGCAAATCAATTATCAATCTGTGAGAACCACTACGGGTTTGTCCTCCTTTATGCTGTATTGTATGCTTATAATACTATGTTTAGGCAGTGGAGAATGCAGTATACTCAATGCGTACTCTGGGCAGTTCAGTATATTCTGCAAACTCAAGTGTGGTTCCACTTAACCATGCACATATTGATTTGCATTCTCAGATACATTGCTCTGCTATGAAATCAAAGTCATTATTCTGTTTTGAATGTGATGTACGTTTAGTCTGCTGTCACACACTGCATTGTGTCGTCATTTAGTTAGGTCCCATCATGTTTTGTCCTGCGATAATAACACTGTGCCAGTCCGGTATTATGTAACTGTCTTGCAAAGTGTCACCAGCAATTAACTGGGTCTGATTGCTTCGGTCCAAGCTGTAAGTGCTGAATGAAAGTGACTGATTCTTTTGCTTTTTTTTTTGCAGCCCTCCAACGGTCTCTTTCTCAGCGCTCTGCTGGTGGTGCTGCCTTTGGAGTCTCTGGCCCACGGCTTGTTCCACGAGCTCGGCAGCTGTCTGGGGGGAACCTGTGTTGGCTATGCCCTGGTCATACCTACTGCTTACTGCAGGTACTGAAGAAAGAGCAGGCAACAGACACAAACAGACATGTATAATAGACTTACACAGACACACACTAAAATATGCAGTAGCAACCAGCAAGCAACAGCATAGCTGTCAGGTGAGTGGGGTGGCAGCAGGCGTGCAACAAAAGAGTGACCAGAGCACTGACAGTTTAAGCACACCCCATGATTAAAATGGCAACTCGAGTTGGACCTGATGAATGACTTAAACATTCATTTATCAAAATTGTTGTAATTAAATTTTCTGTCAATTGGCTGATTAAACTAACAATTATCGCTTAGACTTTAAAAAGTCCAATGTGCTGTCCTCTGGACTGTCCAATAAACAGTCCAAAATAAAACAGAAATGCACAGTTTATTATTACATAAGGCAAAGAAAAGACAAATCCTCATACATATTAAGTTAGGGGAAACAATTACATAATACCAAAATAATTTCATAATAATTTACATTTTCTTTCAACAGACTAAATAATTGAGTAATCATTTCAGACTCTTAAATGTTTCATTATAGTTTTAGATCTTTAACACAAGTATATGCAATCCTACTGTAGTTGCAGCTATTTACTTGCCAGTTAAGCATGTTTGACAGTCTACATACTCGACCAATCACAACCTACGCTGCAGCAAAACACACACCGCATTTACACACACAAACACACACGCTGGACTCACTTTGCTCCACGTCGAAGCCTTTCTTGGCATCACAGGCGCTGGTAAATATGATCACTCATTCCAACTCCCTCCTCAGTTAACACAAAACCAACTGGATAAATAGGCCAATAACTATGCATAAACATGCCGCTAATGTTTTGGCCCTTAAGGGATCATTCCTGTGCTCCCTCCGCAGCATACTAAGTTGTTCAGCTGGAGCAGTTAGCCATTAGCTGCTGCCTCTCCCAGTACCCTCTTAGTCGGCCAAGCGTTTTCTGAAATAGCCGAGTTAGTTTTGATGATGCCGACACGTCTCCTCTTCATCAACAGCAGAAGCTAGCCATCATTTACACATTAGTGTTTCTATCTAGCCTTTGGAGATTTATGGCTGGTGTATATATATATTTCTTTCTTTGCGCCTTTTAGCCGATAGTTAGCTTGAGCATTCACAGGGGATGCCAGCCTTACTGGTGTACTCCTCAGGTGATTTTGGATGCAGGCCCATGTCCTATTGGAGCAGTGGGTGCTCTGTATGCGAGGCCGTATGTTCATGGTCCATAGGGAGGACCGAGAGCATGATGAGAATGCAGCAGTGTATAATCGGCTGTTTGATGGCTGCAGATCATGTTTTCACAATGACAAGAGCCCCACAGGGAGATTAGAGAGATAGAGGTGAGAAGGGGAGGCGCACAGGGTGAAGCAGGGAGGGTGAGACGAAGGGAGGAAAACACAAGCAGAGGACTGAGGTTGTAAACAGTGAGGCAGGGTGGTGGTAAAAGCGTGAGGGGAAGGAGGGGTGGAGCCCTGAGAGAGCTGTGGAGAAAAGGACAGGATTTTTTTTTTAAGGATGAAAGAGAGAGTGTAACAGAGAGAGATGTGGTCTGAATCTCAAACTGCAAGAATTCACTACCCTTGGCGTTGTGAGATCTGAAAGGATCAGATGGGTTTAGCTGAACGGGGAGCTTGCAAAGCCATGCAAAGGTTGCAACATGTCATTTTCTGACCAAGTGTAGTACATCTCTATTGCAGGCTTTTACATTATGCCGAAAATGTGGTCTTTACATTGTGCTTGGCGCATACATGGAGCCCACATTAGATAAAGAGAAGCTTTCACCTCTTCTCGTCAAGGTGAGGTTGAAGGTAGTAATGGGGGCACAGAGTATAATACAATGACAGAGTTATGCAGATGTCTGTAAGAGTGAAATATGACTTTGCCATCAACTTGGTCATGAATAACATCAAGTCAGAGAGATGGATAGAAAATGGATGGCTGCATGGCTGCAATGAATAGCTGTTAGCCTTGACTGTGTGTGTGTGTGAGTCGTATGTATGCCCCCTTTTGTGTTATCATCCACTTGTTATTATCAGACAGGGCTTTGTGCCACATGCATCCACACACACTTTTCTAAAATCACTTTGCCCTTAGCTATCTTTAACCTCAGTTCTCACTCTCACTTCTTGTCACCCTGCTCAATTCTCTTCTCTGTACCCCCTTTCTTTCTAGCCATTTTCCTACTTTCCTTTCATTCTTGACTCCCTCTGCATCCCTGAGGCTAATGTCATTTCTTTCAGCAGTGATCCACCACTCCTACTTCCATATGCTCCCCCCCCCCCATCTCCTCTCATCCTCTGCTCTCTGTCTCCTCTCTCACCGGTGGTGCATACAGCTACCCCACCCCGGTATGAGTCAAACTATCAACTTCTCACTCATTCATCTCTCGTTTGCTTGCACCCCGTCTCTCTCTTCCACCCCTGCTTTTGACAAGCCACCTATCTCAAGTCTCCTTCGGAGTAGATAAAAAAAAAAAAAAAGATTAACATCCAAGTTTTTCTCACATCCTCTCATCTCTCTCTTCTGTCCAGTGCTGATGGCCAGCCCACTCTTCTACCACCTGAGCAGGTACAACAGCTGAACCTGCGCTCTACAGGTATGCTGAACAACGTGCAGCGCCTCTTCTCCCACCACATGATCCAGACGTTTGGCTGTGACTACTCCACCAGTGGTGTTACACTTGAGGCCTTGCAGACAAAGCTGCGCAACTTTCTGGAGCTACGTACAGAAGACGGGCCACGTCATGACACCTATCTGATTTTCTACAGTGGGCACACACACAAAGGCACTGGCGCTTGGGCCCTGGCCGGTGAGAAACCCATTTTTCTCTTACCTTCTTGGAAAATTATCAGTCCTCACCGTTAAATTACTTCTCATTTGTTTAATTTCTGTGGATGTATTAGGGATGCAATCTTGAAATTTAGCTGAAATGAAATATGCATGAAAGTTAGTAGTCTTACACAGATATTTTTCATCTGACTGTAATACCACCATGTGCTTACAGTTCTTGGCATGGCAAGGCCCTTCTATTTTCATGTATAGAGCATATTTCATTACCTCTATGTGCTTAACATTCCAAACAGGAGTATGCTTTTATTACAGTGATTGCCAACCAGGGGTATGTGTACCACAGGGTACGCATCATCAACATTCTACAGTAGCCAAGTAGTATGTGGAAAGATTGTAACATAATTGAATTTAGTGTTTGTACAAAACTATTTACGTAAATATGTATTCACATACTGAGTCAGCTGCAACCCCTGAACATTACATATTGAGAACGAGAGTCGGTGAAAAGGAATTAGCAAGCGGGCAGAGATTCAGTGAGCTACAAGTAATTAAAAAAAAGAGTTTGTAGTAGTATAATAGTGAGGTAGAAATAGTTAAAAATATGGATAAATTGCTGAGATTCATCCAGATTCTGCCAATTAATAGTGAAATAACATCCAGTTTAAAAAGTTTCAATGAAGAGGCATTTGAGTTCATCTTACAGGGCTGTGAGGGTGCATAGGAGGTTGGAAACCACTGTATTATTATACAGTAACACTGGTGTTTGGTGCAGTTGTCTAAAAAAACCCTCTGCTTTATAAATCGACATCATGATTTATAATTGAACTTTACGTGTTCAGAGGATCTTGATTGACTAAACAAGATGGGCACACTATTTTAACCTTTTATGTAGAAAAAGAAATATTCAGTTTGGCATTTTCAAACATCTGTGCTGTTGCATTTTCACAGCAGGTTTATCTGTGAAAGCTTTCCTGTAGGATGCCGACAGTCACACTGTAGCCTCAAGTGAAAACAGTTTTGTAACCATCAACAAGATTACATTTACCACCTTCAGTAAACACAATGAACAAGAAGTGGTATATCAGTCAGTTGGAAATCAGTTTTATCTCTTCAGAGTTGGCTAGTAGTTATCACAAATGATCTGTCAGTTGAACAAAACAAAAATTGAACACAAAAGTAGAATTACTGCGGAGCTGTTGTGTGGGACCACATTGTATTCTCCCTGCGAACTGGATTTGCATTTCAGTCTGATTTCCATTCTTTCCATTTCCCCCTCCTCTCGATCAATCAGTCCAATTTGCACAGATCAGACGAGTAAGCCAAGAGAGTTAAAATTACTGTGAAGGACGCGGCACAGAAGTTTGTTTTCCAGTAGAGAAGATTGTGTGAAAGTTGCAGACGGTCGGCTGTGACACAAGTACTCCCTCAACAGAAATGAGAATCACAGCAGGTTAACACCGTGTCAGCTCCGGCTCTTCTTTTCAGAGATTATCTGACACATTATCTCTGCGTGCTGCTCCAAATAGGAAAAAAAAAACATTGAAAAGATAATAACTTCCCTGCGTCACCATCCTGAAGGGACGTTTTCAGTCGGTGTTCAGCGGATAATTGTACACATTTTGGAAAAAAGTCCAAATTGGGAACAGTCACTGATTTCAAGTCATATTTGCACTCCGATTCTTTCAGATGCAAAGACTTGGCATGGCAGTGTTGTCCTACATTATATTGTCTTTATTCTGTTAAATGCCTGCAGCAGTGTCTGCAAATCGGCTTGTTGTAGATTTTTAGGCATGTGGAAGGAGCCCAATTTCCTCTCCAAATATAAATCAATCTTTGATGGCGTTGCTCTGTGGCCAGCAGTAGGAGTCATTTTTATCCTCCGCTCTTATTTACTTACCTAGCACTTTCCTGCAATAAATGATGATTTTGAGGTTACAGAAATAATTTGGTACATCTGTTGGCGAGGGGACCACAGATCTGATCTTTGTACTTTTGGATCTGCCGTCTGGAAAACAGCAGCTTTGTGCAATGTATGGGGTTGTGGTGACAGCAGTTTGACAGACAGTCCCGTAAGTGAAAGCTGACAGGTTTGATCCCTGTAAAGCCACTGTGTCCATCAACAGTCATGTGTCCCGTTGAAATGTCCTTGAACAGGACACTGAACCAGTAGCAGCTCTATAAACACCACTGTAAGTGAGTTTGTTAGAGTTTGAGCTGTAAACATAAAAATGCTAATTAACCTGACACCTGCCACAGAGATTTGTTGTTTAAAAGCTAAAACTTTAATCTACAAAAAATTGGGATACGTATTTAACATTCTCTTCCTTCCTTTTCCCCTCTCTCTCTCCATCCTGCACTTTCCTCCCAACCTCCTTTGCTGCAGGGGGTGAGAGCCTCCGCCTTGCCGAGCTGCTGGAGTTGTGGAAGGAGAAGAACGCCGGCCACTGCTCCCGTCTCATCCTCATCCTGGACACCGAAAACTCCCTCCCCTGGGTGAAGGAGGTGCGCAGGATGGAGGGCGTCTATATAGCCGTGCAGGGGGCTGAGCTGTCCGCCACCAGGGTGGACCCAGAGGCCGGTGACATCGCCCTCATCGGGGACTTCACCTCCGAGTGGGTGGAGTTCAACTGCAACCCAGACAGCGACAACCAGTGGTCAGATAAGGGAAGGACTGTGACGGCTATGTACGGCGTGTCCAAACGCTGGAGCGACTACACGCTTCACCTGCCCACTGGAAGTGATGTGGCCAAGCATTGGAAGACCCACTTCCCCAGGGCTATATATCCCATGGTGCACCTCTCAAACTGGTGCTGTGGCCTCAACCTGTTCTGGTTATGTAGTGTGTGTCTGCGCTGCTTCAGGAGGTGTAAACTAGCTTGGTTCCCACCAGCTGTATTGGACACTGGGCAGGGCATTAAACTGGTGCACTCTTAGAAATAAGGGCGACATGTACATTTTGATTTTGGTATAATATGTTTTGATAGCTGGGTACGAGGTGTCTATAGGAAGAGGGAAAAAGCTGGTTATACCCCATCAGTTAAATGTGGCCTTCTGTCAGAAAGGTATTTTTGCATCTTGTTTAATTAATGTGATGCCAAGACATTGTGCTGATAATTTTATAGAAAAACACCGGCTCAGTGTTATATTGTGTAACACAAAATGAGGGAGTGAAAAGCCAAATAATATAACCCCTTGCTTTTTTGATGATCTCAAAAACAAGTGTTATCACAATTACAGTGGGTAAAAAAAAGATTTATATTTCGGTACTGTGTTAAGTTTTTGAACACTATTTTTCTATTACTGCATCATTATTTCTTTTGAAAGGTCTGGTTGATTTTTATGTTAAATTTTTTTCAGTGCCACATTGTCTTAAAGTGCCTTACAAATGGATTTGGGGTCACCTTTAAAATGGAAGTTTTTCATATGTAAATGTATATATATATATATATACCCTTGCCTTGCCTCTTATTTATATTCAGAGGATTTAGCTCATGCTCTTAACTTAAATTATGTGAGCAGGGAGTGTCTTCCTAAAACCTTTCAACAAGATAGACGAAATGTTGGGCTGAACTCAGTGACCCTCTGGTTACAGTCCAACCACGAGGCCAACCCGTCACTCTCACTGTGGGATCTTTTCCTCATCACTTTCAAACAGCAAGTTTCAGTTTAGATATACATTTATTCCTGAACTGAACAAAGGCTGCGAGACAGAATATCATCACTAGACAATGGCTCTGTATTGTGCCTCAAGCTGTTTATTTACAGTAACTAATTCAATTTGAAGTCATTTGCTCTGTACAAACACGACATTCAGGTTCTGTAGCTGTTCTCCACGCTGTGAAACAGTGACTTGTCAATGCAAAACGACAAATCGAGAAGCTTCCAATGCTTTTTATGGGTGCACTGACCTGAAGAACTCATATTGACCATCCTTTGTTTCCTACTTTATTTGCCATGTTGGAGCTCTCCCCCACACTTCCCTTAACTCTGGAGTGTATTGCTGCCTTAACGTTTGTGTTTCCAAGAGGACAAGTGGCATTTTCCACATGTAATTCCCCATGTGCCTCTCGAGTTATGCCTGAAAATGTAAAAAAAATTAAACTTGGATAATAAACTGATTGCTGTCTGATGTAGTTGCATGAGAAATGTAGGGAGAGAATACAAGTGCATGCAAGTTTAATTAAATGGAAATAGCCAGGCGCATTTATCATGGCTGGCTTTACAGACGCTGAACAAATACAGACTCTGCTCTGTGGAAACACTAGCATCGCCCGGCAAATATTAGGACAGTGAGCTGAAGGAAAAAAAAATTAGAGTGTAAAGGAAAAATGAAACAATACATGACACAGTATCTCTGAGGGATTTGCTCACCGTGCTTTCACCTCAGTTAGTAGCAGTGCCTGGCTGGACATGTGTCCAAGGCGCTGCTGGGTATTTCACTGGTCTCAGAAAGCAGGGCTGAGCAACGTTTCATATCAGCTTTCATCCATAACATGCAACAGGATAAAGCAGAGGAGAAAAACGGCGTGAACCAAAGAAACCTTTCACCACGTCTTAACTCGCTGTTCTTAGGTGCTGTAAATATCAAACCATTAGGCAGGTATGAGCAATAAGCTCAGCATTCACAGTGGCAATTAGTGAAAAAGAGACAAGTATAAATGCCCTGTTGTGTGGGCGTTCTTTTCATTGCTGTAGCCTGCAAGCTGTGGTTATAGCTAAAGTCAGGGACTCATGTATATAGCGGGAATCATTTATGAGAATATTAGATTACGGGCCGGATTCATCTCCTAAACTGGATTAGATAATAAAAGAGTCAGCCGCCTCTGAGGCCAGTGTGGATGTGCTGAGTCAGAGCCCTACGCATGCACTCTCAAACGCACACACATCAACACAGATACATGCGTAGAGGCAGCCGCGCGCACCAATTCTCCACTGCCTTTCACTGCTCCTGTTTCCCTCACAGCCGAGTCTCTCGTCTGTGGGTAATTACAGCCTGTCATGGGGCGTTACCTTCTAATGCAGGCAAAGTGATGTGCCTGACGCTTGCCTGCAATTTATTTTGGGGAAATAAATGTGCTTTTATAGCCCAAGTTGAATCTTAGCACTGGGACTGGAGCAGCAAATACATCAGCTGTTCCTCTATTATTGTTTATTCAAATCCATCTGTAAGCACTGTGGGGGGTGGCAATTTTAAGGCTTTTTCTTGAATACAATTCCTTAAAAAGTGTTTTGAGCCAGTTGTTTGGTGTTTAACCATTGGTCTATTCATTATTGTCTTAAAGAATGTCTGATCTCTGCAGGGAAGACTTGGTTTGATAAGTAATAATTGGCTTTCAGTAACTAAAATGAGCTTAGTGTGCTGCCTTTTTTTCCTACCAAACCACCCTCTATCACTTCTACACTTCAGCGACATCCAGCAGGCATTCATTTTCAGCTAAATGTACTAGAACCAGATATATACATAAATGCTGAATGTCCCCTTTTCTCTTCCCCTCCTGGAACAGAAGGAGTAATGGGATGAGAGATTACAGATTCAGCAGCATCGCTGTTCCAACTTTTGTGCCCTGCTTTTCAGGAGGCCTGCTTGCTGTGGCTCGCAGTGGGTCCGACATTGAAATGTCAAAGCCATTATCTCAAATTACAAGGGCTGAGGATGCGTTTAGTGGCCGTTTAACCGTGCAACGCTCCCTACTATGCAGACAATCATTTGGAAGAGGCTGCCAGAATCTGCCTGTTCTCAGACTTCTCTTTCAACATAGTACTTTCTCTGAAACCCATATGGTCATTTAATATTAAATAGTATGCATCAGACACTACATTATATGGCAGGAACATGCACATGATTAACTTCCTGCCATGGTTTTGGAAGAGAATATGTGGCTATTTTGGACCTGTATCTGTCTTCTCTGGAGAACAGTACTTGTAGATAGTTAAAAGAATAGTTTGCTTGCGCTCAGCTTTCTTATTAGGACATGAAATGTGATTATCACCAAAATAGCGCAGCTTAGTCAGCGTCTACAATAAAAACAAGTCTACATCCCGCACGGAGGAAGGTGGCCATGTTTATTTTCTGCTTTAGAATGTAACCGCCATGAAACAATTTGAAAATAAAGCTTTATTCACCGCTTTGTTCTCGTTAACGCCGGTCCCTCTCTTCATTCAATTCTGAGCTCTCTCAACCATCACTGCTCTTTTTGCCTTTAAAGGCACCCCTTCAAGCCCTGTTGTAATGGAGATGCGGATCCCTGCCACATGGGCTAGTGCGACGAGTCAAACCAAGTCGAGCCAAGTCTAGTTACTGACCCTGGCCAAAAAATAGGCCCGCACATAACCCTCTATAAAGGGCAAATTGTAATTTTTAAACAAAGATATAATGTGCTAATTAGTGAGCTTTAAAGGTGCTGGTTGGCAGATTTTACTACTTTTGAATCGAGCAAGGTTAGCTGTTTTGGTTTTTAATTTGACATAAGAATGGTATCAATCTTTACATATAACCCTCGGCAAGAAAGTGAATAAGCACATTTTCCAAAAAAGGTTTCACTGGCCCTTAAACATGTCTGGTGCTGGAGCTTTTCCAGCAGGAACCAAGAAATGCTTTAACTGGAAGGCAAAAGTTTTAATCCCCTCAACAGTCACTGTCAAGATAAGAATATCAGCTCGAATGTATAGATTTTTTAAAATTCAAGGGAGAGATGTTAAGTGATTATTCATGGTACAAGGATTGTAGTTACTCTGGGCAGGGATTTACAAGCTGATGCAGAAGGGGGGTGGGTTAAAGCAGACTTCGTAGCCTCTGTTATTACACATATGCTTGTAAAGTGAAGGTCAAAAACATGGCAGGATAAAGGAATTAATTCCTATTTTGTGGAGTATTGTGTGGGTGGGCATCTGAAACCAACCCATTAATACACAAAAAGCCCTTCAATATCTTATCTGGATGTTACAGAAACAGGTTAATCCTGAATATCAATACATGCAGCTAATACTGGAATCAGAATGTGAACAGATGTAGAAGAAATTCAGTCCCCATGACATCTGATCACTTAATATGAGGTGTGAATGGGACCTTTTCCAAGTGTGTCATCAGTATGGATTGCTGATTTAGAACTCATCCTTAATCAAACTTAGCTGCTCTGGATATTGGCTCTTGTAAGCAGCCAAATACTTAGTATGAGGCAGATGATGCCGATACGCTTCATTCAATTAAAAGTGTAAATCGTAGGCCTAACAAGACTGTCAGCACTGTGGGATCGGAGGTTCGGTAATTAGCTTTGTTGTCACAGTTGGGTTGAGATGGGACAGGACTAGGCTGAGCTAGGCTACTGAAACAGATGAGTTTCCTGTTCTGATCTCACAACTGGGAGCCCAGACATCATCCAAGTCAGCCGAAGCAGGCTTTTTCAGCTCGATGTATCTGTTTATGTCACCTGGGAGTTGGATATTGGTTGGAATTTTGTAACACTGACAACACACTTGTAATGTCAAGAATAGTTCTGCACACAGACTAGTGTTGTTTATTGAGTAACATCACATCCCAAAGTCATTTAGTCTCATTTGCACATTACTTCTGCTATTTTGAAGACTAAACCTTACTAAGAGGATTTCTTCAGAAAAAGGTTGCAAACACAAAACAACCGCTTAACAAGGTTTAGCATTTTTGGGAAATACACTTATTCACTTTCTTGCCAAGAGTTGGATGAGAAGACAACGCTCATGTCTGTAGGGCAAATATGAAGCTGGAGCCGGCAGCCACTTAGCTTAGCATAAAAACTGGAGATAGGAGAAACAGCTAGCCTGGCTAGTTTTTTGTTTTTGTACAGATTGAGATTACTGTACATTAACGATTGAGTTTTAGTGTTTCCCGTCTTGGCTGCTGGTGGTAGCTTTATATTTACCATACATAGGAGTGGTATAGATGTTCCCAACTAACTCTTGGCAAAAAAGCAAATAGGTTATACTCATAGTTTTTGGGGAATACACTTTAGCCTTAGAGGTGCTAGTAGGCACATGAAGTTTCCAGGCTTTGTGCTAAGCAAAACTAACTGGCTGCTGGCTCCAGCTACAGTACATCTTACCAACCATACAGACGTTAATGTGCTATTGATATTCTCATCTAATTCTCTGCAAGAAAGCGAATAAGTGTATTTCCCCAAATGTCCAACTGTTCCTTTAACTCTTTTAATTCTATAAAATCTATAAAAACTGTTATGCTATTATTACGTTTATAGTCTGCCCTACAGGGGAGTTTACCACCTGTACGTGAACCTGTAGATTATGATCAATATAGATGGCTAGTGGTTGACTGGAGTCGATGTGTCTGTGCAATGTTTGAATGTCCTTATGAAACCCTTTATTGAGTAGAATTTGAAGTCAGACTGAACGCTAGCCCAGCTCCCTGTGCTGTCTCTCTATAGACTCCCATCCTGCCTTGAAATTCTCTCTCCAGCTAATGCAGTGCTGATGTGTGACTCACCTAAGCCTGCTCCTCCGATCTTCAGTCTGTCTGCCTGCCAGTAAGTGGGTTATGGAACCGCACTGGGGGTCTCTTCTCAACCATGACATAACAACGCACTCAGGCACTGACTGGAGACATACCTGTTTACTGCCTGTAACAAGCAGTCAACTGGCTTTAAGTGTAACTCAGGCATTGAGAAAGGTTGGGTTGAAGGGGGATTAAGGGAAGGTTGCTTCGCAAGATGATAGATTTACAAGAGGTCTTTTGCTCTCCTGCATGTTTATCAGGGCTTGTGTTTACTTCTGCGCTCATAGACAATTGTTTGTCTAGTACTGGTGTACCCTTGTGTGTGTGTATGTGTGTGTGTGTGTGTAGCCTTTTTCACATTCACTTCATATCCTTTCAGCACAAGAGACGTTCATTTATACCATGACCTTTTCCCAGAGGCAGAGAAAATCCTAAAGGTGATTCAAATGGAATTTGTACTTTGAATAATGAAAGAATCTTTTTTGTGAAAAGAGGCAAAGCCAAATCACAGAATTATGCACAATTTTGGTTTCTTTATTAGTACCCATACGCTCGTCCCTAACCTGCTGGTTTTGTGATTGTTGTGTGTGTACGTGCATGTGAGAGCGTGCAAGACCGTGCACACTTCCCTCTCTTTTTCTGTGTGTGTAGTGTCAGCAGAACCCCAGGGGGTCTAGCAGGAGCTCGTTTGATTGCAGCCTCACAGCTGGCTCACGATGTTAGCCAGTCGGGCTCCAAGTGAAGTGAAGAAAGAGAGAGAGAGAGGGGAAGAGAGGGAGGGAGGCAAAAATTTGAGGAATGGAAAGGAAAGATGACCCGATAAACCGTGGCAAAAAAGAGAAGACAGCTTGTATTGCTTTAGTTTTTACTCTGGCCTCCTGTACCGCCAAAAAAGGATAGTAATGTGAGAAAAATCAGAGACAGGAGAAAGAGGCAGAAAACAGAGAAGAGGATAAAGATAGATGGGGGAGGGATGGAGGCAGGCAGGCAGGTGTGCCCATGGCTGTGTATCAGAGTGAAGCAGGGGGGAGGAAAGAGTACACCTGTCCTTCAGTGATCAAACACACTCACACACATTCATTCATATATTCCTGCACACATTATTTTTTTTCCATAAAGACACATGTGCTGCAAGAAAAATGCCTAATGTTTGTCCACGCAGATGGCATTGCTGGGGTTTTACTGTGGGATTTAGAGGCAGGCTGAAGCCCTCGCTCAGTGTAACTGTTGCGGTCAGAGCCTCATGCTGTTGGGCAATTGGGCAACGGCATGGAATAGCCTAATTTAGAGGCAGATGACTGGATGTCCCTGAACAGAAGAAAAATGGAGACAGAGAGGCAGGGAAACACTGTGGAGACCATGAGATTTTGTGTGCATAGGTGCTGGCATAAAGACAAAAAATGAACTGCTGAAGAGAAAGAGAGAGAGGAATAGAAAATACTCTCATATAGAGGCAAGAAAAACACACATACAATCCCATTGAGGACTGCTGTCATCCATCGTGTGCAGTGTGGGAACATTCCAGACTCATCTGTTTTGTCTGGAGTGCGACTGCTTAGAGAGAGAAATTCACTGAGAAAGAAAAGCAGACTGAGAGAGGGGAGTTGAAAGAGAAGCAGCAAGAGAAGCAGCAAGAGGAGCAGCAAGAGGAGCAGCAAGAGAGGAGGCGAGACAAAGAGACAGAAAAGTAGATGGTGTGTTTCTTGGGCTGTCAGGTGGTGTGTTAGGGGGCGTTAGGAGGAGAATCTGTTGCTACACTTCTAGTCCAGATGTTGCATTTGGATGAAAAAGTCTGTTCTCAGTCACTGATCTGTATGTGTAGAGTGAAAGCCAACTACGGATGCAAACTTGAATGTATGTCATATTTTGTGCTTTATTTGAGTGAGAAAGGGATCATTTGATGATAACTTTATCTTCAGGATCTTTAATAATAGGTAATGGGGTTTAAGTTTGCATGACAAAGAATATAAAATCAAACAATTTGACTCTTGGGTGGCTGGGTGACCTAGACCAGTGGTTCCCAAACTGGGGGCAGGGGATCCTCAGCAGCGGTGGTCAAAGCTTCATGGGAGGTCGCAAGGCCTTCTTGATTTTAAGAGGTGTAAGAAGAGTTATTTTTAGATTATTTTTCATGATCTAAATTTTCAAGAAGCCTCATCCTACATTAGAAAGCTTTGCAGCTGAAACAACCAAGAGCTAATAGAATGATAGGGAAAGTGTCAGGGAGAAGAAAACACTTGTAAAAAAATTTGTAAAAAAAACAAAAACAAAAAAAATGCGTCTAAATAAAATCCGGTGATGCAGTCAATTCAGCTGATAGATGTATGTTTGTATCTGGTTTCATTTGTCAAAGAACCGCTACAAATGAGCCACATAACAAAAGTAGCCAATTTAATCTGTTTATTTGGTGCGACTGCAAGGCTAGCAGTGGGGGTACAGAGCAGCTAACAGCTTCCTGGCTCCAGCTAGCTTTATATTTGCTGTACAAACATGAGAGTGTTATCAATCTTTTAACTCTTGGCAAGAAAGCAAAGTGTATTTCCTAAAATCTTGAACTAGTCCTACAGGGAAAATTATTTTTTTTTTTTCCAACTGTAACAGTTAAACCCCTATCTCCTAAATGAACTACTCTAATCTGTTCGGATC